GCAGTTATTGTTCCATGACTAATTTCTTGTATAAGATGACAACATTGATTTACTTCTGCTACACTACTAACAAAACATAATATTTGATCATATCTTTGTTTTGTTTTACATATTTCTTGTATTAAATCTAATATATTTTGATTAGATCGTGCGAATTTTGCTACATGATATACTTTTCCTAAGTTTGGTATATAAAATTCATTAAATTTTAATTGAGGTATTTGACGAAACACTGTTGTTATAGATGGATCTAATGTTGCTGATGAAATGATTATTTTGACTTTTGATTTAAGATTAGGTTTTTCTGTAAGAAGACGAGCAAATAATGCTAAACATAGATCAATATTTACAGATCTTTCATGAATTTCATCGATAAAAAATACAATAGGTTTATTATTATTATTTGTTTGTTTTCTAATCAAATTTTCATCATATAATAGACGTTCTTTTAATAAAGCATCAGTTAAATATAAGATTTGAGCATTAGCATTACAGTGAGCACTAGTAACAGCCCATCCAGCAATATCAAATCCATCTTTGTTTGTTGTCATAGTTTTATTAACATAATCACAAAGTGCTTCACAAGTTAATCGACGAGGTTGAGTAACAATGACTTTTTCATAACCTTCAGCAATCAAGAGAGCTGGTAATAAACTTGATTTACCTGAAAAAAAGAATTTTGAATTGCTGTTAAATTTAATATGTATGATTTTGAGATGATTTTATATATTTACAAAATAGACAGAATTCGAATCAAAAGCAACAACAATTAATCAGATTGATATCTTGAAATGAGTAACATGGCGAATTGCAATAATCGATATGAGTAAAGAACCATTTCGAAGTCTCTGTTAGACCAATTTTCACGAAATTTACAATAAAAAAGATTCTGATCCTCCTGTCCTTTGACATGCTAGTGACTCAAGTGTCAGCTGATGATAGATATTTTAAAGAACATAGCTAGATTTCCAAATAAATGGCGGATATTACTATTATCGCACAAATAAAATGAATACAAGTGTTGCTTTTGTATCTGAAGAATGAAAGCCGCTATCGATCTGGTGTTTTCAGCACTCTCAACAACAATGCGTAACAAAATACAGTGATACAGAGCTCATTGGGATAACTGATTGTTCAGGACCTCTGAAAATCTATGCTAAAGTTTGATTTGTAGATTAAAAATTTCCTATGGAATTTGTCTGAACATGTTATTTCTGGCCTGTTTCTTTGCAAAGTTGCAATAGACACAGTCGTAGACTCGTGAATTCGAATTTTTTATCTTGAATCACTCCAAAATAGCTTAATATACAAGTGATTTCTCATAGTAAATTCATTGAAGATATTTCTTTTTCGTTTCAAAATAATATAAAGTCACTCTATCAAGATTTTTGAAGCTTTAACTCTTCACGAGGAATAGCATCACATTTTTAAATTCTGAAAATTTTCATCTTGTGGTTTTAAATGACATTGAAAATAAAAAGAAATATCATCAGTGAACTCAACGTTGTAAATAACTTGTGCCTTAATCTACTTGTGGGCGATCCAAGATGAAAAAATCAACATTTAGCTTTTTTCTATTGAGTGGTCATATTTAAAGTCAACATTGAAGGGGATAATTTAGAATGTGCCAATCAAACTTAAGCGCAGACTTTCAATCGGGCCTAGGAAAATTATCGACCTCGGTGAATTTGATATGAGTGTGTTGTCCTCACATTGGTGTTTGAAATGTTCACAACACCAGATCGATATCTGTTTCCATTCTTGAGATATTAAAAAAACTACTTATTATCTATTTCGCAATTGTCTGCATGTATTTGATTCACTTCATTTCATCACACGAAATAGAATACGAGTTGTGGTTTATAATTGAAAAGTTCTTGAAAAAGTCGACTCTCAAAATTGGACTTTTACAGATTGGAATAGAAGTAATGAGACAGTTGACTTTTTAGCTTTTTCCAGTTTTCCTGCTTCTCGTGAGTATGTAATGATTAACAACTTACCCGATCCAGTTGATGTCGTTACAGTAATAACATTACTGTTTTCAAATTTATCTAAGAATTCTTTAGATGATTCATACAATGGTAATTGTAATGTAAAACATCGATAATATAACATAACACGTTGTAATAATTTTGGAATTAGTTTCAACTGTTCCACATCACATCCAACATATATTTTATTTGTTCGAAATTCTTTTCTTACTTTATCAATAAATTCATTCACAGTTTCAACAGATTTTATTGATGGTTTCCTTTCAAATTTTAATTGCTGTGATAAAACATGTTGTTTAATGAATTCTTCGAAAGCTTCATGTTTTAATACTTCTATTTCTGATATAAACGATTTTTTTTGCATATATCGATCTATTTGTTTTTCTAACTGAACTAATGATCCAAAACGTACATCTCTTATACATTGTTCGGCTATTATTTGGGACTCGTGTGTTATATACTCATCGAATAGTTTGACACATTCTTGAATTTTATTTTGAATTAATTGCTGAAAGTATTTAGTATATGATTGCCAATCTTGTGAAGAATGAATTTGTTTCGTCATTTTTTCAATAATAGGTTGCATAATTCCATTTAGTTGACTTTTATATGAAGTTTCAGCTGATTGAATAGCATTGGATAAAATTTGTAGTTGTTTTAGAACAAGTTTGAATTCATCATGATGTACTTGAAGACCAGTA